TATCGCAGTTGGCTTGTACATCATGACGATCCGAAACTGCTTCGTGTAGCCCAGTGACAATAGCTGCTGACTAGCTATGCAAGCTGCTGATATTCATGGTTGCGAATCTTTGTGGATCCGATGGATGCGCACTACTGATGATGTCCAGAAGGCGGAAACTGCAGTCTCGTGCTTTTCCGGGCATGTGGACGACCAGCTGATTTGGAACTGGCTGCGACGAACCCTCAAATAATTATAGCAAAATCCAATACTCAAGAGTAAATGTACAGATATGTCTAAATAAAAGGGGTTGGATCTGTGACAAAGTTCTGTTAAGCTTAAAACGTTAAGAGGCTGTGTTCTTTCGAGAAGAGAGAAAATGATGGACATTATATTGGGTGAATCCAAGAACACCCCACTGAATTTGGGACATGCATGAAGAGTCGAATCCGTCAAAAGAAACGAATGGACAGAGAATAATTTTTGTATAAATCGGTGGGAGTTGCTGCAAAGTGGAAAAAGGAAAAAGGATGTCTCTCACAAAGAGTAGAATGATGAACTGCCATCGATATCAGCATATCACATATTATGTAAAAAATATGCTTTTCTTACAGTATCACCTCATCTTGATGTTAAATATCGTTGCCCGCATAGCAAAGTGCAGGAAACTTAGCCAAAAGGATGTCGGTAATATATTGGTAAATATTCAGCAAATGACAAAAGCAATGCAATCTCTGCAAATTTGACTTCATAAAGAAATACCAAATTGGGAAATCTGCTGTGCATTTTCATGCCCAAAATATCAGCCTGGACAGCCGTAAGACCGCACTACCGAAAAGCAAGATTATGACGAATTAGACCCTGTCCCAACACTTTCGTTACTCCACTCTCTTAATGCGTGACAAAGGGTCATTACTTCGGGTGTGAGGTAGAGCGCACCAAATTGCCATATGTCCAATAGTAGATGCTGATCTATTCAAAAATGTCACGCACATTTGTGTAGAACGACCGTAAGCATGTATGTGCCTACATGTGTATTTACACACGTACCCAGTGTCGTCCCACGTGAAAACGCTAGGTCATGCTCAGGTGGTCAAGTTGGAGTCAATCTACGGCACGCCAAAAGACAAGTTCACTGATCCATGCGTACACTGTGTAGGGCCGGTTCGACTGGAGAGAGGGGTAGTCAAAATAGAAAGAGCAGTGCCTCATAACCCCGCTACTGCGGTAGAATTGTGGTGGCGCTCCGACAGGCGTAACTGGCCTGAGCAAGGAGTGCGTAATACGTGAATAATGTAATCCCGGCTAGTAACAAATGGTTATTTGCAACGCTCCTGTATTCTGAAAGTTATCTTCCGAAAACCTACCTTAGCTAAATGGACCTTCCTTCCAAGTGGGCCATGCAAATATGACATCTGAAGTTTTAAAGACGGTTTGGAAAAGCCATGCGGTCTAAAGATTACTCACTGCCGAATAACATATTCTCCCGTCGCAGTATTGGTCGCCGTTATTGAAAACAAGTGTGGTCACGCTGCCCAACTTGTTTCAGACGGGACAATGAGCGTTTATTCCGACATATTCACTGATGGGGCAAACTTCTATTAGCAGGGGACTCGGAAGCTGCATTTCTAGGCAATATCTAATCCACGAGGATACTGAGAATCACTCATTGCACAAAGCGCGAAGCTCATTGACTTGAAAAAGGAATGAAAAATCGCAAGACCACAGCACACGCATGTGGGTTCTCACGCATACTGTGCTCTATAAGCTCGTTACCCTTTTGGTAACTTTCTGACACATTATGCTGCCAATGCACCTTTGGCTCAAATCTGGTGACCGAGCAGACCAATCTTTGGGACCTCTGCGACCGATCCGCCGGTGACCAAACACCTTAAGATAATGCCTCACCGTTTTTCATAATAAGCAGGTGCGCTATATTGAATCTATAAATGCTGAAGCGAAGTGCCGAAGTAGCCAAAGATAATCGGTAGTGAAAACATCTCTATCTTGTAGCTGCTACGTAATTTGGCAGCGACAGTTTCCTTACCACTGGAGAACCATGATAGTAAAGGAAATGGCGGTAATCATAATTGAGTTACTTGGCAAACACGAGATTAACGTCATATGGACAACGGAAGTACGTCACTCTGGTCTACAAGAACCGCATAACCTAGCCTAATGGGCTTCAACGGTTTCGTCCACCGCCGACAACTTTACATCAACAGCGACGCCTGCACGCTCTCGGGCAGTTCAGCAATCAGGCGTTTCTCACGTACCCACCTTGTTTTATTTTCTCCCAGCGTTCATTCAACCTCGACGAAATATACGCACCATTACCCATCGCAACAATGTGCTAGTGAAAGCAATCGCTATGCATTATACATATATTTACATGAAATATGTTTCAAGAGCACAAAAGTCAACCAAACACATGTTCAAAACGATCAACCTCGTGTTGCTTGCAGATCAGTACTCGCGAGATGCTATTGGCTAGTACTTTGTGCAAACTGTCCACTGATATATGGCGACATTCGTTGACCATGCCCAGTTTCAGTTCCTTCGACATTCAGCTGCGGAATGACACAGGTCTGCGGGATTTACTTTGGGAGGATGCTAACAAATGTGAAGCATAAGTTCTGTTAATAAATCCAGGTACCCGTCATACAAGTCAACGAAGTATATGTATAAAATGTCCGCCGTCGTTTTGCTTGCACAGCAGTACTAGCCGGATGCTATTGGCTAGCACTTTCTGCAAAATGTTCAACGACAAACCGCAACATTCATTGACGATGTTCCGTTTCAGTTCCTCCAGACAAGTTGGTCTGGTTTTATATACTCGGGATTTCAAGTACCCCATAGGAAGCAATCCAGTGCCTTCAAATCAGCAGACCGTGTAGGCCAATCAATATATCCTTCACGACCGATGCTGCGGTTACCGCAACTTTCGTTAAGGTAATCACGTACCGTTTGTGCAGAATGGGCAGGCGCATCATCCTGCTGCTACCAGACAGTACTCAATAAGCCTTCGAGCTGCAGCTGTGGAATGACCCTGGACTGCAAGATTTCTTTGTACGATGATGCTAAGAAATGTGAAGGATTAATTCTGTAACGAAAATTAAGTTACTCGTCACATTCTTGGAAAAGATAAATGGTCCGATAATTGTTCACCCTGTCAACTCAGCCCATGCCATTAGTTGTGAATTATGTTGCACTCGCAAAGCGATGCATTGTCGTGTGTTATTGGTAGCCCAAACATGCGGCTTATCGGCGTCATGCAGACGAAAAGGTGCCTCATCTGTAAACACGATTCAGTGCAGGTCCATATATCCAGATACCATCGGGAAAATGCCATACGTGGTACATGGTGACAACGCCGAATGCACGGATAGCACCACCGCGCGTGAGGTCACTGACAAAATCATTCTCCCAACTTTCGAAAGATAAGCAAAACACGAAGCTTTGAGCAAACAATTGTTTTCGATTACTTCTTCACCAGGCTCATACAGTAATATACATTATGTTAACGTCTGTTGCAATCGTTAGTGTAACAAAGAAACAATTATCGGAAAATTAACTTGTGATCATGATGACCTACATCTGATCACGTGACTGAGGTCAGGTGAATTTGCGGAGTACCATTGCTTCCTTCACGGCTGGTGGTCGGCCAGGGAAGTTGTAGTGTTTGTATTAGTTTCTTCTGAACACACAAGTCCGGATTTGTTAGACGTATGCATATTGCCTCAGCGGTGGCGAGTATGCTTGCTCTTAGACGATGATTTTGTCTTGATGGTATTTTGTAGAGAATTTGAAAGGCTGTTCGTTTGTCTATCTGGTGACCTGTGTTTATTAGATGGTTTGTAATCGCACTGTAGTTTGTTCTATTCTCCCGCTTGTAGAGCCAACCTGGCAGGTGTTCCTTAATTCTCTTACCTAGATGCCTGATCGTCCGTCCAACGTACCTGGCCCCGCACGGGCAGGTGAACCGGTAGATTAACATCGATTGGAGATGATCAGGCACTCGGTCTTTGAATCTCGGAACTAGTAAAGGTCTGTTCGTGAAAATCACATTCAGTTGAGCCGCATTAAAGGTCTTTTTGCAGCTTTGCTGTAGTCGGCGTGCGCATGTCTCATCCGCACTATTTCCTTTGAATGGAAGTGTCAAGTAAAGCTGTTTCTTTTCAGCAGTTTGTTTTGATACTTTTGGTATGCATCGCTTCATATGGGTCTCGATAAATCGCTCCGGATATCCATTTTCGAGAAGCGCCTCTTTGATTCGTGCGAGTTCGGCTTTTATGGTATCTTCGCTGCAGATGTTATATGCCCGATCGGTTAGCGTTCGTACCAGCGTTCCTTTTTGGCTGAGTGGGGCGAAACTATGAAAGTTCATGTATTGTCCCTTCCAGTATGGTTTCCTGTATACTTTTCTTTGGATTGATCCGTCGGTTCTTCTGATAAGACTTGCAGCCAAAAAATTCATTTGGTTGTTGTTTTCTTCTTCTTCTCCCAACTGATTGATAGTGGTACGAGCACTGGATATGACGAAGTGTAACGAAGCTATCCACTGCTTTGGCGGTTATTTCGCTCCGTTAGCAATGCAGAGCGACCACCCTGTTCAACCGCAGTCTCCAATCGGGCACGTGGGCCAGCGCGTGATCCTTATGCAACTGTTTGGTGAGTGTCAATCGAAATGTTTGAAAACGGCTCTCCGCTACAACGCTACCGACTACACAATGAGGTCGGTCAACGCGCTGTACGTGCGCCGAGTACTTGAGAAATTTGACAAAACTGGGAGCATGCGCGACGCAAAGCGATCCCGCTGGCCTCACCGCCACGGATGACGTGTCCACTTGCGTTGTTATCGTTAAGGTAGCCCGAAATGTTCATGTAAGCAATAGGAGAATTGCGTAACATTTTGCAATCACACGATCTTCTGTGCATCGTACATTGAAGGAACGGAAATTCCGAAGAGATCGTGCACTGCAGGTTCAAATTCTGAAGCGCTACGATTGTGAGAACCATCATCAATCATCATCATCATCATCATCATCATCATCATCATCATCATCATCATCATCATCATCATCATCATCATCATCATCATCATCATCATCATCATCATCATCATCATCATCATCATCATCATCATCATCATCATCATCATCATCATCATCATCATCATCATCATCATCATCATCATCATCATCATCATCATCATCATCATCATCATCATCATCATCATCATCATCATCATCATCATCATCATCATCATCATCATCATCATCATCATCATCATCATCATCATCATCATCATCATCATCATCATCATCATCATCATCATCATCATCATCATCATCATCATCATCATCATCATCATCATCATCATCATCATCATCATCATCATCATCATCATCATCATCATCATCATCATCATCATCATCACCATCATCATCATCATCATCATCATCATCATCATCATCATCATTATACATGTCAGCTAGAGATGGTAAAACACCTCCGCTATTGTACCGCAATACATAAAGGAAATACATACATACATACAATACATAAAGGAAAAATAAATACGACAGTTGAATGCCAGCTGAGCTACCAGCAACGGATACGCATCGTTCCGGTAAGCTACTAGCCGGCTACTAGGCAAAAACAAAAATTTAATTACGTTTAACCCTACGAAATAAGATCGTAGATGGAGGGGGAGGCTAAAGGGATGGGGAGGGACAAAGAAACTCACAGCAGGAACGCCACTGAGGTCGGCTCCTTGCCATATCAGCAAGTGTATCCAGCCAAACGTGTTCACCGTCTTTTGGACCCTAACCAGGGAGCCGTGAAGCTCTAACCGAAGCTAGCTCCGAAGTGATGGACTTCATTCCTCTGGACCAAGTCATCGCTTGGCCACCCCTCCTCTTCTTCCACCCACATCCCCGGTGAGCAAACAACGCACGTCGAGGGAGTCGGTGGGCTGGCATGCGCAACACGTGGCCCAGCCATCGGAGCCTGGTGCGTGAAATAACGGTGCTGAGCGGTTCATTCCCTTTTCCTAGGCCGTAAACAAGGCGTCGAACACGCTCGTTACTCACGCGGTGTTCCCACCAGATGTGAGCCAAACTGCGAAGGCACCGATGGTCGAACGTAACTAGCCTCTTCATGTCCGCTGATCTTAGGGGCCAGGTTTCGCAACCGTACAGTAAGGTCGAACGTACCGCTGCATTGTACACTCTACCCTTCAGGGCGAGAGTAATGTCGCGCCGCCGCCATAGGTGGCGAAGGTTAGCAAAAGCACTTCGAGCTTTCGCTATGCGGTTCGTGATCTCGTCTTCGATCCCAAGGGCGCTGATACAACTTCCCAGGTAATTGAATTTCTGAACGACTTCTAGCTGATCCCCACCAAGGGTCAGCACAGGGGGCGATCCCTGCCAATCTTGGAGGAACGCTTTGCACTTCGGTGGTGCAAAGCAAAGCCCGAAGCGACTGACAGCCAGTGCTAATCTGTCCAGCGCGGCTTGACACGTCTGGGAGCTGTCACAGATGAGGGCAATGTCGTCTGCATACTCCAAGTCAAGAAGTTGTTCTCCTGGGAGTAGCTCCACACCTTCCAAGTCATGTCCTGTAAATGCAATCTCCATGACTTCCTCAATAGCGAAGTTGAAGAGGAAAGGTGAAAGCGGGCATCCTTGTCTCACACCGCTGGAGATATTGAAGGGTGGCGACAGCTTGCCGTAAGCCCTCACTCTGCCCGTGCTACGCGCATATAATGCTTGGATAATATTTGCATATTTCTCGGGCACACCTTTCCTGAGTAGACACTTCCAAAGGGCACATCGATCAACCGAATCGAATGCACCTTTGATGTCGAGGAACACGACTACGGTGGGCCGCCAATATGTGTGACGGTGCTCCAACAACTGACGCAAGGTGAAGATGTGGTCGATGCAGCCACGACCCCGACGAAACCCGGCTTGCTCCTCACGAATCTGGCTTTCACTAGCGCCAGTCAGTCTGTGGAGAATTATGGACGCGAGTAATTTGGAGGCGATGGAGATCAGACTGATTCCTCTATGGTTGCCGCATTCCGAGCGCGAGCCGCCTTTGAAGATGGGAACAATAACGGAGCGGCTCCAGTCGGTTGGGACAGTCTCCTGCTCCCACAGTTTCACTAGTAATTCATGCAAAGCATCAACAAGAGCAGAGCCTCCGAATTTGAAGAGGGCTGGAGGAAGATCATCTGGTCCCGCGGCTTTGTTCAACTTCAACCGTCCGATCTCACGTTCGACTTCTGAGCGAGAGGGTGGATCCAAAGGGACAGCCCACGGAGCGGGGCGATCAGTGACCGGTGAATCGAACAATTCTTGCCGATTAAATTGCTTTTCAAAATGCTCAGCCCAACGCTCCAGACGTTTTGACAAATTGTGGATAGGCTGTCCACTCTCGTCACAAATTGTTTCACTAACACCAGGTCTCCTGCTGCCCGTTTCCCGTATCAGACGGAATAACTTACGATGGTTGCCAAGGACAGCGGCCACTTCCATCTCTGACGCACGATGAGACCACCAAGATTCGCGGTCTCTCTTCAGGCTAGCACGGAGTTTTGCCCGGAGCTCTTTGCGAGTTTCATTGTGCTCGCTTCCAGCCGGGATTTGCCGGCGAGCATCTATAAGTTCCAGAGACTGCGAAGAGACCCAATGTCCATGTTGGCTATTAGACATACCACATGAGGATTTGCCTGCTGCTAGTAAGGTCTGGCGAACATGTGACCAGTGACCATCAATTGTCTCCTGTGAGCGCTTGCTCAACTCGCATGTTAGCGTACTTCGATACGCATTCAGAACAGCTGGTTTTGTCAGTTGGCTGGTGTCAATACGCTCACAGCGTCGTCGTGGGCGTCCGCCAAAACGCATCCGCTTGTCAGCACATACAAGTGCATGATCGGTGTCCACACATGTGCTCCAAATCGAGCGACAATTCTGGATGCAGCCTCTCCAGCGGTAACTTATCACAATGTGATCGATCTGCGTGCAAGGCTGGTTCGAGGTTGGTGGGCGCCAAGTCACCCTTCGGCGGGTGCTGTGTCGGAAATTAGTGCTCGCAAGAAATAAGCGAGCATCTTCACACAAATGAAGTAACCGCTCACCGTTATCATTACGGGAGCCTACACCGTGCTGACCGCTCAGAAGCATTTCATCAGTGGACAACTTTCCAACTTGTGCGTTCAGATCCCCAGCCAGCACAACAGTGTCCGTGCTACTTCTGTGGCGAAGGAGCTCGGTCTGTTGGCGGTAGAAGTCGTTCTTTACCGAATCATCGCTACAGTTTGTGGGCGCATAGGCAGCGATGATGAATAGACATCTATTAGTCCCGCGCGACTTCGAAGCTTTGAACGAGCCAGCCAATCGGACTGCACACATCCGGCTACTGATTGGAATCCAATCAACCACAGCAGCTTCAGCCCGGGGACTCAGGGCAATACCAACACCAGCTTGGCCGGTGCTCGAAGCTGCATCGTCACCGGATAGGCGCAATGAGAAAATACTGCTTGCGTCCCCTGAAGGGGATCGCAGAGTGAGCACAGTGCTCGAGTCTTGAAGGCGAGTCTCTGATAAGCAGCAGATATCGATCGAGAGGGTCTCCAATGTTTGGGCAAGTGCTGCCTGTTGACCGATTTGTAGCAGTGTGCGTACATTGAGGCATGCCAATCTGAAGGAGGATCGTGGGCTCCAAATGGAAGCCGATGAACTGGATTGGACCGTTTGGTTGGACATGGGCTTGTCGACAGGAGAGGAGTGACGCTCCGCGTTCACGTGTGAGTTGAAATTAGAAGGTAAATGCCTAGCAAAGCATGTTGGGGGAGGGCCAAGAATCGGGGGGGTTGAAAACTGGGGGGATATAAGTGAAGTTGGAATGGGACGGTAAGAGTGAAAAAGCGCAAGAGGGGGAATAAGAAGACGGGAAGGCTTGAGCAGTAGCATCCAAACCCCTATCCACCCTGCTCGATGCAGCAGATAGGGCACCGTTGATTATCCTCTGCGGTGGCCAGAGCATCAAGAAATTGTTTGAAGAAAATTCATAGTATTGCTTGGGCAGGATACTGTCAGGTTGCCCAGGCCTAGACAAGAGAACAATTAGGGTTCTAAACCAAAGCCCTCGGTGCAAATAACTTACGGCAAGGCAGCGAGTTTGGCGTTGTGGTACAATGAGTAGATTTTAAGGAATAAGGTGCCACCGTCATTCCAACCTCCAACCTGGCGGACCATGAGGCTGAGTATGTCTGCCCTCTAACTATTGACCAATCAGGTATGAGGGACTCTGAAGGTGCGAAAGCACCACCCAGCATAGCTCAATGGATCGATGAGGCACACAAACCATCGCACCACGGTAAGGTCCAGCCTCATTGTGAGAACCGCAAGATATTTTCTCGATAGAAACTGGATATCATCAGATTTGAGCCAAAGGTGCGTTTGCAGCGTAATGTGTCAGAAAAGTTATCACAAGGGTAACGGGCTTTTGGTGAAAAGTATGCGTGAGAACCCACATGGTGTGCTGTGGTCTCGCGATTTTTCCTTCCTTTATTCAAGTCAATGCGCTCCGCGCTTTGTGCAATACGTGACTCTCAGTATCCTCGTGGATTAGATATTGCCTAGAAATGCAGCTTCTGAGTCCCCTGCTAATAGAAGTTTGCCCCATCAGTGAATATGTCGGAATAAACGCTCATGGTCCCGCCTAAACCAAATTGGGCAGCGTGACCACACTTGTTTTCTGCAACGGCGACCAATACTGCGACGGGAGAATATGTTATGCGACAGCGAGTAGTCTTTAGACCGCATGGCTTTTCCAAACCGTTTTTAAAACTTCAGATGTCATATTTGCATGGCCCACTTGGAAGGAAGGTCCATTTAGCTAAGGTAGGTTTTTGGAAGATAACTTTCAGAATACAGGAGCGTTTCAAATAACCTTTTGTTACTAGTCGGGATAACATTATGCACGTATTACACACGCCTTGCTCAGGCCAGTTATGCCTGTCGGAGCGCCACCCCAATTCTACCACAGTAGCCGGGTTATGAGGCACTGCTCTTTCTATTTTGACTACCCCTCTCTCCAGTCGAACCGGTCCTACACAGCGTACGCATCGATCAGTGAACATGTCTTTTGGCGTGCCGTAGGTTGACTCCAACTCGACCACCTGAGCATGACCTAGCGTTTTCACGTGAGACGACACTGGGTACGTGTGTAAATACACATGTAGGCACATGCATGCGTACGGTCGTTCTACACAAATGTGTATGTGTGACATTTTTGGATAGATCAGCATCTACTATTGGACATATGGCAATTTGGTGCGCTCTACCTCACACCCTAATAATGCAGGCGTTAGCTAGTGATCTAGCAGAAACACTGGCTGCTTTCTATCAGCACTGTCTAGAAGATAACCATATTCCACCAGGTTGGAAGCGAGGGGTCATCAATCCTATCCATAAATGAGGTAGCCGCACTGATCCTGCCAACTACCGACCGATAACACTATTACATCTGCCATCCAAATTGATGGAATCAATCGTCGCAGGTTCCCTGATGCAGTATCTGGAAAGCAACAACTTATTAGCTTCAGAGCAACATGGCTTTCGTCAAAAGCATTCGTGTAATACTAACCTATTAATTACACGTAATAGCTGGACTGA